CATTAACGTGAGCATTTCAAGTATCATAAACTTCCTCGTACTTCCTGTACTTCCTTGTACTTCCTTTTACTTCCTTGTACTTCCTTCTACTTCCTTCTACTTCCTCGTACTTCCTCGTACTTCCTCATACTTCCTTGTACTTCCTAATAATTCCTCATACTTCCTGTACTTCCCTTGTACTTCCTCATGCTGTACACCATACTTCCTCAGCGGTTTACCCCTCGATATTACCTTTACATCATATGCTAACAATTTATCAAATTTTAAATCACCTATCATGAAATATGATAGCGTAAATCTCACTATCTCACCAGTATATATAAAATAAAGTATCTTGGTATATATATAGACGCTCACATGAAATGGGACGCACATATTGATTATTTGGTGAGAAAATTACGCAGCGTAACATAGAGACTGAAGTACATGACACCATATCAAGATATATCTCAGTTGCGCATACTCTACCATAGTTTTTTTGAAACCCATCTCTCTTATGGGGAGCAGCAAATGCCTCTCATATAAAAATGTATAACAAATACAAAAATTTTTGAAAATAATCACTAATAAAATAAGAACTCACCCTACAGATGCGCTATATAAACAAACATCGATTTTAGACATAAGACAACTTTACTTTTTCAAAACTGTTATAAGGCAACACAAAAATAAACATAAACTAAAAAAAATTGAAACACCATTATGCAACTCCTCATAAAATAAATTCAACCTATGTGCCAAAATCACAGAAAAACACTCTACAAAAGTGTTACACCTCATGTTACACTTACCTAGCTCCTCTGCTGTATAATCCCATTCCAGCAGACACGAAAGCTATCGTTTGAAACAATTCATTCAAAAATAAGCTCAAAGTATGAATCCTGAATTTGCCCAGAGTACAGATACACCAATATGTCGATATGAAAAATACATATCACTACAGTGTATAAGTATACATATATTAAATAGATGTAGATGGACTTACATGTTAGCTAGATTTGTACAACTTACAGTTGGAGTTCAATTTCTCCATTGTTTATTTTATTGATGTTTGATTGATGTCTGATGCAAATACCTATTACAATTTATATGAAAAAAAAATGCTCTTTTTCATTTTTCATATTTTTCATAAGTGACTCTTGATGTGATATCTTTACTTAAAATTATGTTCATGCCTTTTTGCTCACACTGAAAGAAACTCTATTTTTACAATGTTATTCAATATTATTCTATTGCGATTTGTTTATTTTGAAACTGTATGTTCCTTTATTTATTATCTATATTTGATTTTTGATATATCTATTTATGAACCTTCTGGTCATTATATTATATTTATATATGACACAACCTGTGCACAGGTTTTTCCTCCTGTGGGGATTCTATATTTATGTATCGTTATATGAAATAATTTTATTCTTTTTTTTTTGGTTTCGATAGTAAAATAAATATATTATTATTATTATAGCCACACTTCTACACTGTGCATTTTGTGTTCGCGATCGTTCCCCACATTTTACTCGACGTTCCTGGATAACCTTCCTCTAGGTCACCGGTACTCTCTCGACTCTCTTCTCTGCTCAACTGCCTTCGTCTTCCGTCTCCCCACCATCTCCTCATACGATACAAAGCTGAGTAACGTCACCGATCCAGAAGGTTTACCCGCACATACAGGGTGTGCCTGGTACAGTACGCGGGGGTGGTTGCGCTCCCATCCAACCTAAATGTTCGGCAATTTTATTTTCTACATTCAATCTAATCTGAATTACATGAGAAATTATGTTCGACAAGGTATTTAATGTCCAGTCAGCGATTCCGGGTCAGCAGAATCTTGGAAATTCTGGGGTCGTCTAACTGGAGGTCGTTCTGATTCAGCAATTCTAGGGCTTTGACATGACACAACTTGTCACTTCTGCCTTTACAATTCGAGTGAATTGAAAAATGACCTCTCTCGAAGTTCTCCCAAAACCGCTCATGCGCTTGTCAAATCAAAATGAAACCTGAACGGCCTGATATTTGATGTGTACCAAATATCAGGCCGTAAATAAAGAAAATATTGAATGACATATTAAATGATAATATTCAAGCCAACTTTTCAAGTGAGGCTTTGTTCAAAAAAAGTAATTCTTTTGATTTAAGGCAACAATTCTGTTTGAAAATTTTAATCAAAATCTTAAAAAAAAAACATCCAGTTGAAACCTATCGAGCATAGTTATGAGACGAGAGCAAGCGAAAGCAAATTTTCTCTTACCGGGTGCATGAAAACTATCGGTCAGAGATGTTGCATGTTTCTGGCACCACGAATATTTAATTTACTACCACAATCTATTCGGAAAATAAGAACTCTCCACTCTTATAAAATGCAAATAAAAAAATGGGTTCATGAAACAGATAGGCAAATTATCAATGACCTCATCGATTTGAAGTATATAAAATGATAATAATAATTGAATTGATTGACATTCTAAAAATTAAACTGTTAGTGACTTCCAGATATTAATATAATTACTGAAGATTCAACATATTACTTGAAATGGCCATATTACCTGATTACGACTTACACCTGATTATGACTTACACCTGATTATGACTTAATTGTACCTAACTGTGACCTACTTACCTTATGATTATAACATATTAACCTGAATGTAACCTATAATGTAACCTTGTCTATTTCAAGCCTCTTTACTTTGAAAACCAGGATCATCAAATAATCACGCCCGAGAGTTAAGTGTTGGCAAACCACGAAAGAGTTTTTAAAAAACAATTTTTATTCGGAAATACAGAGGCAAACGTTTACTTCCAAGTCTACATTCAATCTAATCTGAATTACATGAGAAATTATGTTCGACAAAGTGCTTAATGTTTAGTCAGCGATCTCGGGTTAGCAGGATCTTGGAAATACTGGGGTCGTCTAACTCGAGGTCGATCGGATTCAGCAATTCTAGGGCTTTGACATTACATAACTCGAGCACTTCATGTACTTCAGTGATTTTTGATTTTCCAATGTTTATGTTTGAACACTAATCTCGTAATCCATAAATGTAACTGTTATATTATATTTTTATTCTCATTGATTTTAAGAAACTACTAGCAACAAAATTATCACGCACAAGCACTTCATGTGCTTCAGTGATTTTTATAATATTTATTGAAATAAAAGTTTTATTCTTTTCATGTGATGTAATTGTATGCATAAATTTACTATATTTGTTTTTACATTCCAATTTTGTCAAATGTTTATGTATATTTTATGTGATTTTTTATGTCAACAATAAACATTATTATTAATATGATAATCCATATGATAATTACCCGAAATTTGATTATGAGTATGATGCAAATGCTATGGAATAAATTAATTATTTCAAAAATAGGTGACTTGGAAAAAATCCAAAAACAAGTTTCAATCTCTGAATATGAGCTATGTTACGTCACCAGTGTTGGAGTAATGACGTAATGGATGACCTAACCTAACCTGACGACACCTTATTTCAAAGGTCTACTGATCGTCTATTCATCAGTATAGTCATTCCAATATGTATTTACAGGGTCAATCAAAATTTTGTATTATTAGATTGAAATAACAATGAATGCTCATTTGTTGAACTGAAATTTGCAGAAGCCTGCTTCTGAGAATTGAACATCGTAGTGTCTTCTATTTAATTCTGAACTCTAATTTGAAATTAGTCTCTGAATTTCTTGATATTATTTTCATAAAAATATTCAAATAACCAATAATCTAGCAATGCGGCTAACAAAAACCGAACTATTCAATTCAAATTTCAATTATTATTGGCCGTGGAGATGAAATAGTATCTAATAAAAGAATGCATCAGAACGGAAAATGCACAAATAACCCCTAACATTCTCGAAAACGTTAGAGAAGAATCTACTGCCCAACTTTTTCATCAATACTATGATAGGTCATCAATATGAACATTTCTTATGACTTTATTGTATTTTAATAAATAAATAGTTTCAGTTTGCCCTGTACGAATAAATATTCGAATAATCATACTGTTGGATAGACAATTAGAACCTTTTGAATGAGGTGTCATGTCGCATATTTGTATTTTAAAAAATCGTTTATTATGTCATTACTCGAACACCGGTGACATAACAACTCTCATATGAATATCATGAGATGAGGCTTCTAAAATTGAAGCATCGTGTATTTGGATTTTGTTCAAAAGTCGCCTATTTTTGTTGGATGTCAGTTTGGGTAGATTTCTTCGACGGACAACCCTGTATTTGACTTCGGTTTTCGTCCATCATACAAAATTCGTATGCTGACCTTTACTCCCAAGGTGTATATTGCATTTTTTTCACCACTAGCAATATATTTCAATAATTATAATTCTGTGGAATTGAAATATGTCACGATGAAAACACTTCTTTTCGATTCTGATTCAAATCTAGTAGTCATGACCATGACAGCATTAGAATAAGTCGTTATTGATAAATACCTACTAGATTCTAGTGCCATTCTGAGGAATATCGCATTAGAACAGTGAATTCTTTATTGACTGGTTGTTCATGAAATGACGAAAACTACCTTGGTAGAAAAAACACACTTTACACCTTGAAAAGGAGTTATATCCGAATCTGTTATCACAATGACTCCTTTGTGTTATTATTTAAAAAAAAACTCATCGCCCATGGAATCTCAAATTTCGAGCAATGAGCTCTGTCTAATAGATGAGCATTACTTGATAGGAAATCAGATGGCTACAAGACGAAGAAATCGAACATGCCACTGTAATCTATTATAGCCATAGAAAAATCATAGTGTATAACTTGCACGGAATGATAATTTCCTACTCGAATGATTGCTTAATTCTCATAGGAAATCACTATCATTCTGTGTTCGTTAAACATTATACTATTTTTTAACACTGTCATGAATAATTCATCAAGTTCATATGAAAAAAAAAACTTTTGATAATAATGTAATTTCATATCTATTTATAATTAGATAATGATGTTCAATGTTTTTTCAGTGGGTGGAAGAGTCATTCACCAATTTCCAGAAAGGAATTAATTGGAGATCATACGTAGTATGTGATGTCGCCTATAACAACGTCAACAATTGGCTTTGGACGCCATTCATCGAAAGGAATGTTTCCAATAGGATGTACATAGAAATAAAATTCACTATCAGAGATTGCAGCCTATTTCCAGGTAAAGCATTAACTTATGATAACTTATGATTATGATCACAGCAAAGTACTTGATCACAGATTGAAATAATATTGAATAATTTCAAAGTTGCTGACAGTTATAAATCATCATCTTGTTCTTTTATAACCAGCTATAATCTCCTTCATTTATCCCTCAAATAATAGATGACCAATAATTAGTAAAACTCAAATCTTCATAACTACGAATCAAATATCAAAACAGGTAGTAAGAATTTATATACATGAAAAACTTTAGAATGAAAACTTTTTTGTTCAGGGAACGCACTATCTTGTAAAGAAACCTTCAGCTTGCTATACTACGAATTCGATGCCGTCACTAGAGAGCCACCGCCATGGGATGCAGAAAGATATAAACTAATAAGTAAGTACATTATGAATATGCTTATTCGAAATTGTCTCTCGATACATTACCTACAAAAATTCATTGACTATAATAATAGATAGGCAAAAGTACAATGTTATTAAAATAAAATTGAAAAGAATGAGGGATCAAACGATTGAAAGAAACATATGAATACAATCGCTACTTTAATATTGAAAAAATGTCTTGGAAAAGATGGAATAACATCAGGAATATTTGAAATGTTATCAAATATACTGGTATATTCAAACCAACCTAGAAAACTGGAAATAAAGATGAAGTTAACAATAATTGAAGACCAATAATAGCAATTTCCACTTTAGCAAAAGTATTTGGGGAAATTTCGAAATTCAGAATAGAAAATTACTTTTGTCAAGTAGGCAATTTGGATTCAGAAATAGTATATTACACGCCTAGGTGGAAAGAGATTCATTCCTGTGGTGAGATTAGTTAGTTAACCGAGACGCAAAGTGTCGAGGTTAGCTATGATCTTCGGACAGGAATGAAACTTCCTACCGAGGTTTGTATATAGTCGTGGAAGTACACCAAGGCAAAATCTGTTTCTTTTTATTCATCGCAAGCTGAATGAGACAGAAAATCACTAGAAAAAGGAACGTCGGAACTTGATTCATATATTTTGATCATTGAATTGTCACTGTGACTTAATGTCAAACAATTAGAGTACTGGTTATACATCAATAATATTTCGAATTCCTTATATCATAATGGTGAAACGATTCAATTATCAATCTAAAACATTGATTCTGACTGTGATCGCGTATTTTGTAAAACACGATGATTTCTGCCAAGTTTAAAGAAAGAATGTTGTCAGCAGCGGAAGCTCTGAATATTTCAGAAAGGAGTATTTATCCGATCAAGAATTCGCAAACAAACTCTGATGCTGTTTATGCAGAAATAGTTTCGAAAAAGGCCGAAGAAATAAAAAAAAGGTAAATCCCACAATTTTACAGGCTCTTAGAGTACATGTGACAATAAAATCGCTCCATAACCGTTTCACTGAAGAATGGCCTGATTTTCCTTGTTCACTAAGATCCGTGAATACCTGGATTCGCAAAATTGGATTCAAATTCAAGAGGAGCAACAATAAGCAGTTTCTTGTAGAACACCCATCAATTGCAGGCAAGCGTACATCATTCCAAAGAAAAAATATCATCTAGATATTTACGCATCAGAACATGGTCACAATATTTTGAGATTACCACCTCACCATTGCCAATATAATGCCATAGAAATGGTGTGGTCAGAGGCTAAAAGGATTTATGACGCCGAAATCATCAAAACTAAATCATCCCCGGGAGATGTGATAATGGTCTGGTCAAAGGCGTTAGAAGCTGTGGGTGTGGAGCATTGGAGAAATTATGTAGGACATACAGAAAAAGTGATATTTTGGGCATGGGAGACGGAGAAATACATAGGTGCTTCCAATATTGAACCTGTCATGATAACTTTCAATTCAGATGAGAGCGATACGTCATCGGAGGAAGGGTCAATGCGTTCAAATGAAAATATTTGTTTTTAAAAAATGTTACTTCCTGAATTATTCATATTAAATTAAGTTGATGTTGACGAGGAATTATTATTCGAAATATAATTCATGTGAGTTATACTACTCACTTACTAACTTTCTTGCAGAAAGACAAAGACAAAACATTTGTTCCAAAGAATTTCATGTTGATAATGGATACAGAGTGTTTTCCGTAAACTCTAGTTGATATGGAGAGTAATACATCTTCACATAGTTTCTTTATAATTTTTTCCTAAAATACCTTTCAACATCTTATTTCACGAAGTCTCACTGACTTCCAGGTCTGAAGATAAATTTTTAAACACTTCGGGGCAAATAAAAATCTCCACGCCCAGTCATCCACAGATACCTTTATGTCTCTATAATTTTTTTAGAAATGAGGGGAGAAAACTAATAAATTTTTTCGATATTTTTTTGCCAAAGCATCAATCGCTTGTAAATATATTTGCGAAAAACAGATGATGTTGAACAGCTTGAGAAATCTTATAGTTCATTCATTCCAAAATCCGATAAGGTTGAAGTCATATTTTGGATTGCAGCTAATATTTTTAATTTTTATTATCCCTTAAGACGAACGAGAGAGAATCACTATTTTATGTTCGTAGAACATCGTCCATCCCTGGGGTGGAAAGGGAGAGAAGGTAGGTATTGAAATATCAAGAGTTATCCTTTGTTCATGGTGCAAGAGATCTCATATACGAATTTCGTATTTTCAACATTTATATCAGGTAGGTATTGAAAACATCTCGTCAGGTTTCCCGAACTGATTTTCCGCGACAATACTGTTCAGTGTTCAACTATAGTTATTCGTTTTTTTAGGTAAATATATATTATGAATCTTTGAGAAAAAAAAACATGGGAACTTGTAGTGGTACGCACATACACTCCTATATCCGTTCTCGTGGACTTCGATGAACTGCCATATTCGTTACCATGATTATCATGATTGTCAAAATCTGGAATACTTAAGAATACACATGCGAATGCTAACCAGAAATTCTATAGGCTTTTGTTTTGTGACTTGGTGTATTTCCACGACTTTACTATCTTATTTACAACCATCAGTATCCGATCAAAATGAATAAATCTCTGTTTTGTTCTGAACATACCTGAAACATTACAAATGTGAGGGCGAGAAGTAGTGAGGGTGGGAAGTGAGGGCGAGAAGTAGAGGTGTGTAATATTATGACACTTTTCAATATTCAATGACGTTAGTAATGACAGCATTACATATATGGTTGTAAATAAACATTTTTATTCGTTTTTATTCATAATGAAAATATATAGGATATAAGAAACAAAAAAAAAGTACATTCATTGATGGAAATATAGTGGATATAAAAAAAATGAAAAAAAATCAAAACCACATAAAATAAATGTAACTAATCAGATACATACAAAATGAAGGAATTTTCTGATTTACATATCTGACCAACAAATCAAACTGCTTATCAAATCACTTTCAATGGAATACATTCCCAAAAGTTTGTAATCTTCCCTTCGGCATTAGGTACACAGTTCTAAATACAGTGCAGACTCGATAATCCGAACTAATAAAAACCAAGGCGATTCGGATTACCAAAAAATTCGGATTACCAAAGCAGTTTTTTTTTTTAATTTTTTATTACGAAATGCAAAAAAACATAAATACGAAAAAGTAACACTAAAATATGCATAAAAGTAAGAATATAATACTAGTTTCTAAAGTAATTTGTAATTTTTGTTTGCTTGACACATCTTTGATTATTTATAAAGGCCATTTCTTTTAATCTTTGAAGTACAAGAATATCATTTAACGGATTATTATTTTCTTCCTTGCGTAATGTGAATCCCAGATACTAACAAAAGAACAATTAGGGGAATCCCTGAACATTTCACTCACAATTTCTATAGGAAATAAATAGGCCTAAAGGTATAGGTTCGGATTATCGAGTACTATGAAATTCGGATTATAGAGTACTCAATGTATTAAAAATGCTTGTTCGGACTACTGAAGAATTCGGATTATTGAACGTTCGGATTATCGAGTCTGCACTGTATTTGATTTGATTATTGATTATTTTGAAAATGAACGCTCTCCTTTGCAACTGGTCACTGATGGTAGTATTAAAAACAAGTTCAAATCAGTATTTTTGCATTAGAAAACTTTTCCATCATTCCTTCACCATGGTCCCGCCGATTTCATAGGAATACTATTGACATTTCCTAAACTGTATACGTTTTGCAAATTGAAAAAGCTGCTGTTCTTGAAATTTGAAAAAAAAAACTGAAAATACTTGATCAGTTTGAGGAAGTCGAAACTGAACTTTTTTTTTTCAGTTTGCCTTATTGAGGAAGTTATTAAACTTTTGTCCGATATGAGCAATTTTCTTTCTATTAACCTACCTACTGTCCCTATGAAATCGGCGGCACCCTGTTTATGATTTTCATCATTTTTGCAATGTTGCCGCTGCTTCTATATTATAAGTACCTATTGCTCAAAGGAGAAATTAATTTTAATCATTATTCCATTTATACAAACGAATGATAAGGGAAAATAGTGATGCAATGCTAGGGCTCCTCTGGGCCCCAGCAAGGGTTGGGGCCATAAGCTTAAGCATACTAAGCGTACCTGTAAATCCGCCGCTGGATTTTAGGATGGGGAGGAGTAAAGCAAACATATTGAAAAAAATTGGAAGTTATTCGGAATTGGATTTTGACAATTATTTATGAAAAAGAATATGTAGTTCCAAATGAAATTTTATAAAAAATATCCAAGACATTTATATAAATCAGCTTGATTTTTTATACCTTATAAATTTACATGTTCAAACACAGAAATGATATGAAATCAATAGTATATTATGTAACAAGTATTGTAAGAAGCATATTCTTGGGTTTGTTAGGATTTATTACCTCAAAGTGAGTCAAATACCAAGTTCTTGGGCTCTCAATAGGTGCTTCAGCACTGCTCAATTTCCTAATATATCCTTGTTCTAAATAATCTTGAATTTTAGAGCAATATTTCTCAAAACATAATGTTGCCTCTATCAGAATTATCTTTATCAGGAGTAGAGGCATACTCACCATACATACTCATATACTCCTCATCCTAAAATCCAATAAACTAGTTGATACTGAACTAAAGCACAAAATATATCATTTCCAAACTAAGAATTCTAAGTACACATTTCAAACGTTTGAATTTAGGAATGAGACATATATTTTTTCAAAACATAATCTATTTGATTATCCCACTTCAGATTATTATCATTCATTATGCCAAGGTATTTTGAACAATGAGTTTCATGAATGTTATTTTTATTGCTAATTTTGATTGTACCTAAATTTGGCTGCGAGTTTTGATCGGAAGTAGAAGACTTAATTTTTTTTTTCAAAATTAATTGTCAATAAATTATTATCAAACCACTTTTTGAAAGTTGGAAAATCCCTTACTACATTCCTTTTCAATTCTTCCCAATCCTTTGCAGAGTATAATAGAACAGTATGATCTGCGAAATAATGTATATTACCAACTGAATTCACTTGAAATATATCATTTATATAAATATTGAAAAAAAGTGGTGCTAAGACACTTCCTCGAGGAACACCATATTCAAAATATTCTGGAACACTATAAATTTTGTTAATTTTTACATGCTGGATTCTTTCTGTCATATATTTTGTATCAATTTGTAACCTACTCCACAAATTCCAATATCTTCCATTTGTTTTAAAGCAGTTCATGACTAACACTTAGACTAAATCTAGAAATATACATAGAGTTTGTGTTTTTTATCTATCAATTAATATAAGTTGTTTGTCGAATAACAAATAGTATGCTGGGAAAAAATGTTTCGATAGTTCTCTTTTTATTGATAAAGAGATGGTGAAACTATTATGTTATGAACGTATGGGTATTGACTCATAGAAAGACCTGCTTTATTACGGTTGATTCATCCATTCGATTTAAAAAAATAACCAGCTGAAGAGTAAAATCTCGGATATATCAAAACCGATATATGTATACATTATTGCATATTATTCAAATGAATTGAAGAACAAAATGCCACCAAATCATATTGGCTGCCATTGCAATTTAACAGCAAGTTGTATGAAATGTCTGTAGGATTGGAAAGAAGCGATCGATTTAAATTTTCCTGTGAATTTCAAGATTCTATAACAATAAATGAAGAAAATACAGGTTGCTGTATTCTGTATCACTCAAAATTATATTATTTATGTTGACCTCACTAGGACAGCCGCGGGTATTGCGGTTAGAATTGGGGTTGAAAGCGGCGAAACGCATTCCGCCGTAGTACCTGCATTGAATTATGATTTTCCCAATATCTCCTTTATTATTGCTTCGATTTTCAAATCGAAAGAACCAGTTGCATCTTGAAACATGGGCGCATCGACATTATGAAAAGTATTTTCTTGATTAACGTTGTAGTTTCTGAGATAGAGAGTTGCAGTAATCACTGTACGCAGCCATCCACGTCTTAACGTCGTCACTGTCATCATAACGTAATAATGAATTTTGTTTTTGGTTTGAATTGGTCATTTTTGGTTGTTTTTTTAGATCTGAACATTTATTCCTGTTAAAATGAGACGACTATCAAATATCAAATCGAATATCTTTCATCCCTTATATAAAACATAGTTACGGTATAAACAAAACTGTAAACTCATACAACTTTCTACAATACTACATGCAATGAAGAAACACATTCTTATCAAATATTGCCAAAAACATCCTATATTCTAATCAAAATCCTAAAACTTTCGACACTATTACTTCAAGACCGTTCAAAGTCATTTACCTTGAAAAAAAAAATCATGCTGAAATTCAAAACGCTTTGGATTCGAATCCAACTTAATGGGGGTTGAAAGATCACCATCTCACTTCGCACTGATTCAGAGTTAATATTTCTATAAACATGTTGAACTGATCTATTACCCGATGTCTCAATAAATCCCGTTGACCATCTCATGTTTATATGAAATCGCCAATTCAGGTCATTCTTTGTTCCCAGTAAACACGTGTTTGAATGTTAACATAAATCATTAATTAATACAGTGGATATTTTCTTATCGAAAAGGAATATTCTTAGATATATTATGCACAGATATATTATGCACATGAAAAAATGGATATATACATATGAAAAAATACATTGAGAATTTGCATTCTCTATGTGATGGAAATATTGAGTCTTTCTCGGTATATTCAACAGAAAACAACTACTTTCCTTGCTATATGATTAATATTAAGTTGTCATACACCCAAAATCATTTTATCATTAAAAAACTATTAACAGGCGTAGATTCGGTATTTCTCACGCTCCCTGGCTATAGCTGAATTAGGTAGATACCACCATCCGCACGAAGTCCACTATGTATATGCTCGGTATTTTCTACAAAGCACAGATACGGCACGTCAAAGAATACTGTTCTCACATATGGGTCTCAGCACCCAGACATATGATGATGCTTCTAGATTCCATCCAGGGACGAGTCATTCGCCTGGTGGGTGATGCCACACTCACTCATTCTTTGACATCATTGGAACACAGTAGAGAAAAGTCAGCGATAGTTCACTTTTCTATAGATACTTACACGGGAAATGTACTTCCGAAATCTCTGCTATTATTCCGTCACTAGTAACACAAGTCAGACGTACTCGACAAGCACATCCTCTCGTCGTCATCAACTATTTACCAAAACTAGTTTATTCATAGAACAGCGGAACTTTGTGATTCTCTGCCAAAGGAAGTAGTCCCAAAAATTTGTAATCTCAAAAAATTCGAAAAAAATTCAAGAACCTACTTTCTCTCTATATCCTCCCTAGGCACGCACGATGTTCTTGAAACATAATAGAGATTCCCTTTCGAGTGCTCCAAGAGATTAATAAAATACAAATAGTAATTACTATTTGAGGTGAATTAAGACTGTCATTGAATTGAATAGTAAGATATGCCTAATTTCATTTGTTGAAGATCTTTAGTAGTCCTAAAAATAATAAATATCAGCTGAATTTTAGTATCTTAAAATTCTCCAAAGCAACATGAGTGACTGTTGATTTGTTAATATCTTGAATACCAATTTAGCTAATTCAGTATTTTTACCTTATGTTCTTGAATCAAATTGTATTTATTCAATTGCAGGTCGAATAGCAGCTGGAGAAGGAAGGTTTAATTCCAACAGTGAAGTGAACATCAATGCTGAAGTCAAAAGTATACCTGTCACCAAGAAAGGAGTTTACTTTGCATTCCGAGACCAGGGGGCTTGCATATCTCTTCTGGCAATAAAAGTAAAGTATACTTGAAGTTCTAATATAGAATAGAATAAAAAAGAACTTAATTTGCGGTTATCCATTGCACACATTATAATCACACATATCATTACAAGATGGAAAAACGAATAAAAATATATACCCATGTAAATATTAAATACAACAAATATACAAATGAACATATATCAAGAGAATATCAGTATGAATCTGAATCTATCACAGTAATCACCCACATTTGCTATATATCCTAGATCATTATGAATCTATACCACAGTAATCAAACACAGCTACTTATAAAGGGGTACTATTAATGGTAATTAATGACTTCTTGAAAGACTGAAATGAATTACTGAAAATGTCAACATGTATACAATTATTATTGAATTCTCTTGGTATCCTGGAGAGGTGGCTATGTATGCCACAATTTGTGGATTAATTTAAAATAGTGCTTTGTTTCTAGTCCTACTGTTTGTACTTAGCTGAATTTCCAATACAAGTTCGGGGCAGTCAATGATACCATTCAACAATTTATATAAAAAGAACAAGTCTGTGTTGAACCTACGTTTTTCTAAAGTTTCCAAACCCATGGTGCTAAGAAGTTGAATTAAATCAGATGATGACGAAAGTAATTCATTAATAGTTATTTATGTATCAAGGGCGTAAAGTAGGCGTTTATGGCCTGTGGCGTGAATAATGGCCCGATGGCGCTAGCCGAGGGCCATTACACGCTCAAGGCCATAAACGCATTTCACGCACGTGATACATACAAAATTTTATGCACTAGTGGTTTATTTTCTGACACAAAAGTAATGACTATAGATTTCGATAAACTAATATTCCCCCGAATTTGATTTGTTGCGTATGAATTCAGTAATCAAGAGAAGCGTAATGTTCATGGATGATTTACATATGAAAATTATCGTACGAATATTGCAATTATCGTAATAGTAAAACTCTTTGATCTCTAGAAGAGATTCATTCTTCAGAATTCCACAATATGCATACCCAGTATATATACCTAACTAATTTTGACGTTGTCAATCAAGCTGATGGTTGTTGTCTATATCAATACATCCAATCATCCAATAAACGAGCTGAATTGTCATTCTCTGACTGAAAAGTAGAAATTAGTGATAATAATAATAGCGATAGATATGGAATCGGATAAAGAAGAAGTTTATGATATACCGCTGGATATATTAGAATCTAGGAAAATGATCATAGGTTTTCCATGAATTGATATGTGGATATAAGGTAACTGAAAACAGCGGGCGGTAAAGTGCACTTTACGGCCCGTGGGCCATAATGAGCGCGCGGGCGGTAAAGTGCGACTTAACGCCCGCAAAACCGGGCGGTAAAGTGCACTTTACGGTCCGCTAGTGCATAAATAGTTTTTATGGTAGAAGTCCGAATCATTATTAACCAAAATCCTGATCTATATCATTTGATCAAAGATGATTTGATCGAAAAATCGAATGATCGATAATTATTATCAAAAAATCACAAGTTCGAACTACATTTTGATTGAACATGGTTTATTGAAAAACAATAATTATTTCAACAGAGAAAATATTGATGACGTTATTTCTTCTACATGAATCATTCCGAATGTTGAATACTGTCTGTAGTTTAATCAAGGAGGTGTATTGATTTTACTTGATTATTTGGGATTTTCTCCCCGTTTCTACAAAATGAAAATATGAGTATCATTTCAATATATGTGTAGTAGGACAAATCTAATGATTTGCCCCAAAATGTCACTGCGACAAATTTTTTTATCAGGAAGCCTAAAAGAAGATGCCAATAAGAGAAAAAATACAGATATATTGAAAAAATATCGAATTTTTACTTATCTTTGGACGTTTCTTCGAAAATTTTGTTCTAGTTGACAATGTAAGAATACAAATGATTCACAGGATGTTTCCATTAATTGATCTTGAATGTACCATTTACATGTTCAATTTTCAGTATTAAATACCATGTTCTATCTATATCAACTGAACAGGAAGCAATGCTATTGTCTCCGTTCAGAAGAATGCAAGCGGATTCCTTGATTTTTCTCTTTTGGTTGTTATCTTCCTTTCCTGTGATGTTAATATTATTTCACTCTGCCATATGTTGTCCATTTTCAGTAAGGATATGTTCAGTTAGCTTTAAAAATAAGAAAAAACACTGGAATCGTACTTTCAATATCAATTCTGATATCCATGAGCATCACAAACTGAACATTTGAGAACTGTCACAATAAAAACCCAAATTGGGGAAACATTCATTGTATTTTTGTGGAATAAATATTTATAATAGTCTACTCACCAGAATAAAATCTACTAGATTCGACACAAAATTTAAGTGTGAACTGAAGAAATATATTTTATCAATTTCTCTCTCCTTGTATCAATTAATTCTGATTGAACTGTTTATCTTTCATTGCATTGCATATTTGATTTTATTTTAGTCAATTTTTTTGTTTCCCCCTATAAACATTGTATGTTTCTTGGGACCAACGTTATTATTATTATTATTTATCCATATGTCTTTTCTTGATATTGTACTTGTGTTCTTTCATCCCCTTACAGAGAGAAGTCTCTTGTAAATCAACATTAACAATAGCTTGGCTAGGAAAAATGTCTCCTTTACCTTGGTATAAAATCATGAAATGCCTACTGTTTGTAATAATTTATTGATCACCTTGTAAATAATTCAATTAATAACACGATTTTGGTGTGTAGAGACCGAGGACTAAACTCAATTTAATTTAATGAGGAAAAATGAAATGTCCCATTTTCGATGTCCTTAGAGAATATCTCACGATCACCTTCTAAATAATTCAATTAATAACACGATTTTGGTGTGTAGAGACCGAGGACTAGACTCAATTTAATTTAATGAGGAACAATGTTAATGTCCCATTTTCGATGTCTTTATTTTTGGACACTTTTTTGTAGAACTCACAATACCGCAAACAAAATTTTCATAGCCTGCATCGTTTTTGAGATACGGGTCAAAATTGAAAGTGTTGCATTTTGGGACCACCCCTGTATCTCAGCTATCTGTCAACTTATAGGAATAGTAAAAACTGTCTCAAAATTTTTTTTTATGTAAAATCCAGAGGTGTAAGTCATGTTTTTTCAAAAGGAACACTTTGTATATTTTTTCATATCTGATACAATGATGCTTTGCTCTTTTCAAAAATATGTAACACTTCAATTCAACTCAAATAAAAATATATTTATTGTCTTGAGTTCTCACTTGTTGACTTAGCTTGTTACACATAATGCATAAAAGATAAATAAATTAACAACACCAGTTTCAAAATCACATACTTGTTGACAACACTTGAAATGTATATGAATAAATAAAAATAAATTGACCTAACAGACAAAATAAGTTGCAAAATACAAAACAATTTGAAAGACTTTAGTTGAAGCTTTGTAAAAAATACTCAGTCAGGTTGTACATACATGGTGTTTGTTCACTTTAGTACGAAATTTTTTGTAACATTTGATTCTATTTATTTGATTTGGCAGATGATTGTATATTTTTATTCCAGAGAAAATAATAGAATCTTCAATCATAGTGGTGCAGGGGAATATTAATATTATTTGACCGCTCTGTCTTGTATTATATCGTGAGGTTACAAACCCCAATAAACTCAGCAGAACCACTTCAATATTTCGGATTTGCAATAATACTATAATTTGTTAATAATTTAGTACTAATTCATTATCGTATTTGCAAATTTATTACTCTTCATTAAACAGAAAAAACCAACGGCTCTGCTAGCTTTATGTCAACCTAGCAGAACCATAGCTGAAAATTCAATATTTCGAAAATTTTAAATGTACCATAATTTATAACTATTTTATTACTAACTGATAACTATAATCACGAATTTTTTACTGATCATTTCAAGGAAAAAAAGACGACGATTTGACTATCTCGATCTCAACCAAGCAGAACCAAAACTCAAATCACATGTTTTTTGGAATTCTGTAGTATCATCGATAAGTTACTAATTGATTACTAATTTATTACCACATTCGCAAATTCCTAACACTTCATTCAACAAGGAAAACCAAGCTTCTTGATCTGTGAATGTGGTAATACATTAGTAATAAAATACAAAGAGAAAAAAATCAGTTGAATTCACAAAATATTTTGTCATACATCCACGACAACATATTTTGTTAATATAGCAAAAGTTTTGTCGATTTTACAAAATTCTGATCATTGAAAATGCAAACAAACAAATAATTTGTTCAAGTAACAAAATGTTTGCTAATACAACTAAAAATGTTGTTATAGTAACAAAATATTTTGTCGTGGATATAGGACAAAATATGTTGCTGATTCAATCAAGTTTTTTCTCCGTCAGTGATGAATCATGAACTGAATAGAATTTCCGGAAAGTTTCAAAAATATGTCATTCGAGTATTGGTTCTGCCGCAGGTGGAGATAGAAATAGACGAATCGGGAGCAGAGCCGATGTTTTTTTTCTGTTTGATGAATTGTTAGGAATTTAAGAATGTGGCAATAAACTAGTATTGATAATTCAATATAGAATTTCAAAAAACATGTCATTTGACTTTTGGTTCTGCTAGGTTTGAGATCGAGATAGACAAATAGGCATTTTTTCTTTGAAATGATGAGTAAAAAAATCGTGATTATGGTAATAAATTGGTAACATACTAATAATAAAGTATGGTATATTTGAAGTTTCCAAAATAATAAGTTTTTAGCTATGGTTCTGCTGGGTTGACATAAAGCTAGCAGAACCGTCGATTTTGCCTGTTGAATTGATTATTAGAATTTTGCGAATGTCGTAATTAATTAGTAATAAATTAGTAACTTATTGATAATTCAATAGAATTAAAAAAAAAATGTGATTCCTGTTTTGGTTCTGCTAGGTTGAGATCGAGGTAGACCAATAGGCGTATTTTCCTTGAAATGATGAGCAAAAAATTCGTGATTATAGTTATAAGTTAGTAATAAAATAGTTATAAATTATGGTATATTCA